TTTACGAATTGTCAATTTTCCGAAAAGTCATTTTTGCGAATTGTCATTTTTGCGAAAAATACAATAGTGGATTTATAGACCTACAAGTTTTCTATTGTATTTTTCGCAAAAATGACAATTCGCAAAAATGACTTTTCGGAAATTTGACAATTCGTAAATATGTCGATTCGCAAAAATGACTTTTCGGAAAATTGACAATTCGTAAAAATGGCGATTCGCAAAAGTGACAATTCGCAAAAATGACATTTCTCAAAAATGACAATTCGCAAAAATGTCAATTCGCAAATATGATTTTTCGCAAAAATGGCAATTCGTAAAAATGGTGATTCGCAAAAGTGACAATTCGCAAAAATTACATTTCTCAAAAATGACAATTCGCAAAAATGACTTTTCGAAAAAATTACAATTCGTAAAAATGGCGATTCGCAAAAATAACTTTTCGGAAAATTGACAATTCGTAAAAATGGCGATTCGCAAAAATGACAATTCGCAAAAATAGCTTTTCGAAAAAATGACAATTCGCAAAAGTGGCATTTCGCAAAATTGGCTTCGCCAAAATGACTATTCGCAAAAGTGCAGTTCGGTAAAATGACATTTCGGAAAAATGACATTTGTGAATAATCATGCGCCCCGGTCATCCTTAATTATTTTAAAATATGAAGAAATCGATCACTCCGAGTCGAAGACTCAGAGTTATCGATTTCTTCATGTTTTATAGTTGTAAAAAAATGTAATGAACTAAAATTTCATTCATTGTAAAAAATAACACCAAAGTTGATTATTTTAATCTTTTTTGGTGTTCATTTAATCTGCAACACTTTTTAATACCTCATGATTGTTAGAGCAAGTAGTTTCAATAAAATTTTTAAAAAAATATAGAGGTTTTTTCATTGTTCCTTATATTTTGAAAAGGTTTTTGGTACCCAGTTGTATTTTTTATATACAAAAATTTTGCTTTATTGTCGCATTTTCCCCCCAAATTGTAAAATACTTTTATAAGATTTAAAATTTTTATCTTCATGTCCGTTTCTTATCATATAGAGAATGAATTTTGTTTAAATTTTTAAACTTATATCCAAATTATATCTATAGATTTTTTATTGTTATATATAGCAAATTGCACTACAAATTGATTAAGATTTATTTAGAAAAAATTTGTTTTTTTATTTATTTTGTAATTATTTATAAATCATCTTTTCATAAATAGATCGAAGCATATATACAGATTTCTAAGGATCTCAAATTGAGACTACATAAACTGTGTCGAATTGTTGCGATGCAACGTTTTGATGCTGTTAATATGGTCTCAATTTGAGAACCTTATTTAGTAGAAAAACTGTGAAAATATTCAAAGTAAGATAAATTGATTGTGATAAATTATCTTATAGGTTAGTTAATGAATAATTAAATGCTGTATAAATTGTTTATGATCATTTAAAAGTTACGCAAAGATTTTTAAACTGAAATTCGAAAAAAGTCGTATTTTTTAAATCGAGCTGAAAATAATCTCATTCTATATATATGTCCCCCGAGGAGACCAAAAACTAAAAAAAAATTGAAATCTATAGCTATCTTTGGCTCTGAGATATTGGGGCTAATGTAATGTAAGTACACACACACATCCACATTTATTTTAAAACACGTTTTTTTTGGATTCCTGAGGTCAAATTACATCGAAATATGTCAAAAAATCACAATCGAAAATTTCCACCAATATTATAGTCAAAGTCTAACTCATTGTCAAAGTCTAACTCATAGTCAAAGTCTAAGTCTTAGACAAAGTCTAACTCTTAGTCAAAGTCTAAGTCTCAGACAAAGTCTAAGTCTTAGCCAAAGTCTTAGTCATCAAAGCCTTAGTCTTAGTCAAAGCCTTAGTCTTAGTCAAAGTCTAAGTCTTAGTATTAGTCAAAGTCTAACTCTTAGTCAAAGTCAAAGTCTTAGTCAAAGTCTTAGTCAAAGTCTAAGTCTTAGACAAAGTCTAACTCTTAGTCAAAGTCTAACTCATATTCAAAGTCTAAGTCTCAGACATAGTCTAAGTCTTAATCAAAGCCTTAGTCAAAGTCTAAGTCTTAGACAAAGTCTAACTCTTAGTCAATGTCTAAGTCTTAGTCAAAGTCTAAGTCTCAGACATAGTCTAAGTCTTAATCAAAATTTAAGTCTTAGTCATCAAAGCCTTAGTCTTAGTCAAAGTCTAAGTCTTAGTATTAGTCAAAGTCTAACTCTTAGTCAAAGTCTTAGTCAAAGTCTTAGTCAAAGTCTTAGTCAAAGTCTTAGTCAAAGTCTAAGTCTTAGTCAAAGTCAATTATTATTTATAATAAACTGGTTTTTTTGTATTTAAATAATTATACAATACAATAACAATATCTACTAATGTAATAAAATTTTGCACAAGAATTAAATTATTTAACAAAAATTTTGATAAAATTCTACTTAAGGTATTTGTCGCGCGACTGGTCACTGTCAAAAGTTTGTATCCGTTGACTGTACTTATGAAACGATTATGAATGCGAGTTTCCGAAAAACTTTTGCCGACGTACAGTTTGACACACAGATGTTCTCAAAGTATATTCATAACCTCTCGCATGCAAAAACGATCGTGGCAACGTCGCAAGTTTGGCGTATGGCCGTCTTTAAAATTTCGCGCCAAAAGTAGCAGACAAGCTGTAGTATTTAACAAGCGCTATTGCCACGTTTACAAATTCACCTGTCATTTACAGTAAATGTTAAAATAATTTTTCAAGTTTGATGTTAAATATCTTTTAAACAAGACGGTGAAAAATTTTCATTTTTTTTATAAAAGTTCATTTTGGTTCAATAAATAAAACTTTAGTTTTTCTAAAAAATCTGTCGATTAGTATAAGTGCAAAAATTAAAAATCTGTGGTTTTCATATGGTTTTCCTATACCGTACATGTTAAAAATCGAAACTTTGATTTCATTTTTTGAGACTTACAGACGGTCAATTTTATTTTAATAGGCCTTATTTTGTAGATAAATATCCAAAGAATAATTATGTGAAATTTAAAAAAATTCTGTCGAAAACGAATTTACGCGACAAATACCTTAAACATTTAATTGTTTTCAAAAATAATAAAAACTTCACAGAAATTCAATTATTTACAAATTTTTGTTATTAATTTCCTCGCAATAATTCAATTATTTTCATAAATAACAATATTCGTCACGAGAATTCAATTATTTTCAAAAGTGAAAAAATTTTTAGCAAAAATTGAAGGGCTACATAAAATAAGGGGACGAACGCGAGGCTTGGAAGGGATAGTACCAGTCGGGTAGCAGTGACAAGCCTTGAGCCGCTCGCTGCTACCTGACTGATATTATCCCTTTCAACCACGCGTTCGTCCCCTTATTTTATGTAGCCCTTCAATTCTATTATTTTCAAAAGTTTTTTTTTAAATTCTCGTCAAAATAATTATCTTTAAAAATAATAAACATTTCTGAAATTTAATTATTTTTACAAAATTTAACAATATTCTTGGTAAAATTTCAATTACTTTCAAAAATTCAATTATTTAAAATAGAATTTGCATAAATTATTTCGAAAAAAATCAATTGTTTACAAAATTGATTACAAAAATCTTTCGTAATAATAATTAAATTTTTTTTTTATAAATTTTTAATATTAAAATTCTTTTCAGGGATTTATTTTTGTATTTAAAAAATTGAATTCTCGTGATATTTACTAATAAAAATTGATTTAAAAAAGAATTATTTTAGTTAAAATTTTAGATAATAATTGAATATTAAAAGCAATGTAGCGTGAATTTTTAGAAATAATTGAATTTTGAAAATGTTTCAAATTAAAATCTTTGCAAATCTGAATTTTTCATATTTTTAACTAACAATTCTGTGCGGAATTAATTTTTTTGAGAGAAAGTTTAATTGCTGATTTTTTAAAAATTATTTGAAGTTTTTATTTTCTAATATATTAATATTGAAGAATTTACAAATAATTGAAATTTTGTAAAATTGAATTGTAAACAAATGAATTTGAAAATTCTCAAAGACCTTTTTCATAAATTATTAAAAATAATGCATTTATAGAAAAATTATATATAGTTAATAAAAACACGAAAAAAAGAATTTAATTTTGGAAACGTTGCAATGTATTGCAGAAATTCAATTATTTTCAAGAGTAAATAATAGTCTTCGCAAAAAATAAATATTGTTCAAAAATAATAAAATTCTTCTTAGGGACTCAATTATTTTCATAAATAATAAAACTTATCGCAGAATTTCAATTATTTTTAATACAATTTTAATCGAATACTTCAAATGAATTCAATTATTTTTAAAAATTATATAAAAATTTGTTGGAAGAATTCAATTATTTAAAAATTTGTTGATAAAATTCTTTATGGAAATTGAATTTTAAAAAACATTCTATTATTTAATAAATTATTTATTTTTGTATTTAAATAATTGAATTCAAGTAGAATTTTCTAATAAAAATTGATTTAAAAATGAATTTCAATTAAAATTTTAGATTATAATTGAATATTTAAAGCAATGAAGCGTGAATTTTTAGAAATAATTGAATTTTGAAATTAATTTTTTTGAAAAAGCTTAATTGAATTTTTTTGGTATTATTTTTAGTTTCTATTTGAAGAATAAAAGAATTGAAGAATTTACGAATAATTGAAATTTACGTAAAATTGAATATTGTAAATAGAAATGGATTTAAAAATTGTCAAAGAACTTTTTTGAAAATTATTAAAAATAATTGATTTAAAGAATAATTTAAGTTAAACATTCTTGAAAATAATTATTGAATTGATAATGATTTTATCATTTAGCACATTTAGTAGAATTTTATTTTCATTCTCAAATTTTTTTTTAATTCCAACTGTTTTCAACGGTTGTGAATACAGGGATTTTTCTTTTATTCCACTGGTGGTAAGTCGGTATTTTTAAATTTATCGTAGGTCCCTTATTTACCTACAATAGATGTAGCGACTTAACCTAAAACTGAAAAACACTTAAATTCTTGTCTATATATCGTCTATGTTCACTGCAGTTCACTGTGATTTTAGACGACAGTCTAAATTAATAAATAAATAAAAAACATTAAATGTTATCTTTTACAGAATAATTTCTAATTTTTAGTGAAATTTTACAAAAACTTTTTTTTACAGTGTATTAGCCGCATCATCGCATTTTATTCTGTAATAGAAAATTTCAAAATAATGTGTAACTGAATTTACAAAATAGTGTAGTGAATAATTTATTGAAAAGTAGAAACCGTAGAAACATAATTAATATGATGCAATTTTAATGTCTCTTTTTGGCATTCATTATTTCAAGGTCACGGTCACTGGTTAAACAGGTTTTTCATCTTACACGTATATTTTTTTAACATTTTCATTTCTGACAGAGAATATTCCCGAATCGCACTCATATTTTAGTGTTTTATCAGAACAGAAGTTTGTGGAAGTTGTCTTAAGAAAAAGAAAATTTTTGCTCATTCGTCAAGATGATGGCTTTGGCGAAAATTGGAAATTATCAAAATGTATCCATCTCTCATCCGATGAGTTGGGGAAATTTCGTGAAACACGCAACTGTCAAATGTGACTATAAATTATTAATCTAATGAGTTGCATTTTTCTTTCTAAATTGTTTTTAAATTTAATATTCATGGATAAGTAAATTTATTTCTGTTTATGACATTTTTTATCATTTTCGTCTTATGGACTTTGTTTAAAATTATTACTCAAGAAACAAATTTTTTTTCGTCTTTTAAAAGCAATTTTTTTTGGTAATATTTCACTTTCTTCACTTTAGTGTAATCAAAACATTAAATTTCAGTATTTCCGCATGGAGAAAATAATAAGAATGAAATAATGTTGAAAAGATTTCATATTTCGAAAGTACGTGATTATCCAGAGGCTCCAACTTTACGTTTACCGACGAATGTCTCGGAAATTTTCGGCAATGAAACATGTCGCTTTACTCAAGAGAGAATTCGTGATATTTACAGTTCAACTGACGTTGTTGAGCAATTTTCCAATTCATCGAAAACAATAAATCTCGATTCACATGTGGCTTCATACGATTGTTTTGGAACTGTTAGTTTGAACAGTTCAATGCAGACGAATGTGCCGAAACCCTTTAATTCCAGTGGCAAGTCAAATTATCTAAATATGCCAGGAGGACAATGGGCTCAAGATGGGAAATACATTGCTGAGGATATGCAAAAGTCGCATTACAAGTTTCAACTTTTAAAACAGTATAATAAGAATGGTTTGTTACGAAACAATTAATTTCATTGTATTTTTCCGAATTTTTTCTAAAGTATATTTTGCTACTGAATTTTTTCTATACATTTAAATTCAGAATCTAAAATTATATTTTTTATATTCTCAGGGTTGCCAAAAAAATTTATATTTGTTTTTCCCTGATTTCTTAAGCAAAATTTTGACTTTTCCCCTAAAAACATTAATAGTTTTCGAGAGTTTTATTTAAAATAAATATTAAATCATTATTTTTTCAATTGATTTTCGAAAATTTCAAATTCAACAACTTATAATAATTAAAGATGACTGAGTGGTAAAATCATAATTTTATATTATAAGAATATTGTTACTGTAACTTCTTCAAATCCCTTTGTTTTCAATTTAATTTTACGAAATTTCGATTATTCGGAAATTTTTTAATTAAAATATGTTAGAAAATTGAAATTTCAAATAATTTCAAAAGAAATTCAATTAAATTTTTCAAAAATAAATTAATTCTACAGAATCGTTAGATAAAAATATAAAAAAAAAATTCAGATTTTCTCGAAGATTTTAATTTGAAACCTTTTTAAAATTCAATTATATTTCTAAAAATTCACGTTATAATGCTTTTAATATTAAATTCTTATCTAAAGTTTTAACTGAAATTCATTTTTGAATACATTTTTATTGGAAAATTCTACGAGAATTCAATTTTTTAAATATATACAAAAATAAATCCCTGAAAAGAATTTTAATATTTATAAAAATAATTGAATTATTGCGAAGGATTCTTATAATCAATTTTTAAACAATTTATTTTTTTCGAAAAAAATTATGCAAATTCTATTTTAAATAATTGAATTTCTGTGAAATTTATATTATTTTAGAAAATAATTGAATGTTTGTGTAGAATTTTATAAAAAAATTTGTTTTTAAATAATTGAAATCTTTTGTAAATTTTATTAAAATAGTAGATATTGAATATCATTGAAAGTATTTGAAATTTTGACAATAATTCCATTAAATTTTGTGAAAAAATTGAATTCCGGAAATGTTTATTATTTTTAAAGATAATTATCTTGACGAGTATTCTTGACAAGAATTTAAAAAAAAACACTTTTGAAAATAATTGAATTTTTGCAAAGAATTTTTTTAATTTTGAAAATAATTGAATTCTTGTGATAAATATTTTTATTTACGAAAATAATTGAATCCTTAAAAAAAATGTTATTATTCATGAAAATAATTGAATCCTTAAAAAAATGTTATTATTCATGAAAATAATTGAATTATTGCGAGGAGATTCATAAAAAAACTTGTAAATAATTGAATTTCTGTGAAGTTTTTATTATTTTTTAAAATAATTAAATGTTTAAGTAGAATTTTATCAAAATTTTTGTTAAATAATTGAATTCTTGTGTAAAATTTTATTAAAATATTAGATTTAGAAAATCATTGAATTGAGGAAAATTTTTGAAAATAATTGAAATTCTGCAATGAGTTTTATTATTTTTAAAAATAATTGAATTTCGGCAAAGAATGTTGTTATTAATAAAGATAATTGAAATCTTGACAAGTATTTTTTTCATTTTTAAAATAATATTAAATTTCTGCTAAGAATTTTATAACTTTTTGAAAATTATTAAATTCTTGTTATAAAGATTGTTTTGTTAGTTATGAAAAAAATTGAATTTTGCAATGAATTTTATTTAAATTCCTGAAAATAATTGAATTTCTGGGAAGAATTTTGATATTTATCAAGATGATTGAATTTTCAAATAATTCAATTCTTTCAACGAATTTTAATAAAATTTTTAAAAATAATTACATTTTTCGAGGAAATTCATTAAAATTGTATCAAAAATAATTGAAATTCTGTGATGGGTTTTATTATTTATGAAAATAATTGAATAATTAAATTCGATTGGTGTTAAAAAACGTAATTATTAATTACTTTTGTCAGAACAATTTTATTTCGAAATTATTTATGGGTCTCTTTTTATTATACTTATTTTAATGAAAAGAAGATTTTTAAAAAAGAGTTGAATAAAATTGTAGCAGCTTTTAAAAAATTTGGAAAAAATTGAAATTATACAAAATATGCAAAATATAATAAAAGTTTTTTAAAATTTACACAGCTACTCAAGGTACATATTATTTTTTATTCGATTTTGAACAAAAAATTGTATTTTGATATTGTGCTTTAATAAAAAAAAGGTTGATGCCTCATATATTTTTTCAATTTATAAATAATGTTTCCTATTTAACATAATTACCTTCTTATCTCAATTTTCCATTCACTTAAAAACTTCATTAAAGTTTCTTTTTGAAATTTTCTTAAAAAGATTCTTATTATTTTACTATTTTAAAAAAATATTAAAAACTCATTCTGAACTTTCTAAATTTGAATTATCATTGACTAATTTTTTACTTTTTAATTAGTAAATTTTACTAATAAATAGTGATTTCTACTAATTTATTAGTAAAATTCACTAGGTAAAAAGTAAAAAGTTGGTCAGTAATAATTCAAATTAATAAACATTTTTATTAATTTAAATTTAGAGAGAAATCAATTTATAGTAAATTAATCCTACTATTATTGTAATTAAATATAATTTATATTTGTTATATTAATGAAATTATTAAATTAATTTTATTACTTTACAAATTATGTAATAATTTAAAAAATGAATTAATCAGAAGATTATTTTCTTTTTGAATTAGGCTTATTTAGAAATTCGAATGCTTTCACATCAGAATCAAGAAATTATTCTACACAATCAAAAACGATAAATAACTTGAATGAAAAATCAGAGAAAACTGCAAAAATTCCTTTAAGATTTACAACGAAAGAAAAATTACAGATGTTGATAAAAGATTATGGGAAAACAATCATCGTCTTTCACGTTTCAATATCGTTAATGTCACTTGGTGGTTTTTACTACGCTATTTCTAGGTTCTTTTTTATTTATTTTATTACAAATATTATATTAATTGGAAAATTTTCGTCAATATTCAAATAAATTCAATTAATTTATACAAAGTTTAAATTTATTATAAATATTTTACATGCGACGAATTTTTTTATTTTATCCGAAAAGTTAAAGAAAAAATTAGAAAACCTAGATTAGAGGCAAACTTTTTAAAATTTAAAATTTATATATTTGTCACATTATTAAAATTTATAATTACAACATTTATTTGAATATTTTCAAAATTTAAAAAAAAAAAACTAAATAAAAATTATTTTTTTTCTATACATTACAGTGGAATTGATATGAGTGAAATTGTATCGAAATATACTGGAAACAATGAAGCAATGACTAAAATATTGTCTGAAACATCAACATTTACAATTGCTTATACTATTCATAAATTATTTGCACCAGTCAGAATAATGATGACATTATCATGTGCTCCAATTTTGGTATTATTTTTGAGAAGAAAAGGAGTTTTGAGACATCCGGATATTGTCAAGAGACTTAAGGAGACTAATTTAAAAAATGAACTTAAAACGTAGTCAAATATTTTGTATAAAATGTAAATTTTCTCAATAAAATTTTGTTATTATTATTAAAAAATTTGTCGTTCATTTCAAATTTAAAAAATGGGATTTTTATAAGAATGGTAATTCTTACATACCAAATGAGAAGATTTTATTATTTGTTCTCATGAACACGACAGTGTCGTTGAAACGTATAAATAATTTTTATGTATTTTTTTCTCTAACTGTACTGAAATAAAAATTTATTTAATTCAAATAAAGAATTACTTGCCTATTATTAAACAAACAATTATTTCAATCAAATAATTTTTGCTTCAATTAATTAAATAGTATTTGCTTCAAATACTTCATAATTTTGATTTATGAATCACATTTTTTTTTACAAAACTTTTATTTTCGTTTTTGGAAAAAAATTTGCAAAATTACTATTTCTTCATGAGAATTCTTTAACATAATCTCAATATTATTTTCTATTATTAATATTTATTAATATTTCAGGCCTCGGATCGTCTTTAAGACGCAAAAAAGTCGCTTTAGTCGCTTTAGAAATATTTAAATATTTCTTAAATTTGTGTTTTCCACGAGAACTAAAATTAAAAAAATATCAATATTTTAAACTTTCTAAAATTTAATAATTTCCAAAAATTACAACTATAACCCTTCCAAAATTCAATTATTTTCTACAACTTTTTAATAAACTTAATCTCTAAATCAATTACTTTTTAATAATTTTTTGAAAGTTCTTTGAAATGTTAATTATTTAAATAGAAAAATTGAATTTATTTTTTATAATAATTATAACTGTTACTGTCGAATTTTTTTTAAGTTATTAAGGTATAATATTTTTAAAAAATTATAATATAAAGAAATTTTTAAAAACATTTTTAATAAAATAGTTTTTCAATTATACACAATTAAAAAATTTTTCCAAATAATTGAAATTTAGTAAAATCATTCAAAACTAATTATAATAATAATATAATATAATAAAATTAGTAATATAGTCTTAAATAAATAAATTTTTCAAAAATAAAAAATTGATCAAATTTTTGAACAATTGTATAATATTTGAATAAATATGAACATAATTTCATCAAATTTTAATAAGTCTAAAAAAGTAAATTAAAAAGACTTTTCATTTACTTTGTTCGAAGAAGAATATTATTACTCTTGAAAATAATTGAACTTCTGCAATAATTTGTAAATTTTTCAAAATACCTAAAATTTTTTTTTCGTGTTTTTAAGTGAAATTTATGAAAAAGGTCTTTGAGAATTTTCAAATTCATTTGCTTACAATTCAATTTTATGAAATTTTAATTATTCGTAAATTCTTTGTGAAAAAAATTAATTCCACAGAATTGTTAGGTATTTAATTTTTTTTTTGCGAAAATAATTGAATTCTTGTGATGAATATTGTTATTAATGAAAATAATTGAATTTATGGGAAGAACTTTGATATTTATCAAGATGACTATATTCTTAAATGATTGAATATTCAAATACCTAAAAAAAATGTTATTCATGAAAATAATTGAATTATTGCTAGGAAATTCATAAAAAAACTTGTAAATAATTGAATTTCTGTGAAGTTTTTATTATTTTTTAAAATAATTAAATGTTTAAGTAGAATTTTATCAAAATTTTTGTTAAATAATTGAATTCTTGTGGAAAATTTTATTAAAATAGTAGATATTGAAAATCATTGAATTGAGGAAAAATTTTGAAAATAATTGGAATTTTGCCAAGAATTTTATTAAAATTTTTGAAAATAATTAAATTTCTGCAATTATTTGTAAAATTCTCAAAAATTCAATTTTTTTAGGATTTTTAACTAAAATCCTTCTATAAATCCATTATTTTTAATAATTAATTAAACATATATATTAAAAAATTTGAATTATTACAATTTTTCAGAATTTCTGCAATGAATTTTATTATTTTTAAAAATAATTGAATTTCTACAAAGAATTTTATTATTTATAAAGATAATTGAAATCTTCACAAGTATTTTTTTCTTTTTTTGAAAATAATTGAATTTCTGCCAAGAATTTTATAACTTTTTGAAAATCATTAAATTCTTGTGATGAATATTGTTAGATGTGAAAAAAATTGAATTTTGCAATGAATTTTATTTAAATTCCTGAAAATAATTGAATTTCTGGGAAGCATTTTGATGTTTATCAAGATGATTGAATTTTCAAATAATTCAATTCCTTCAACGAATTTTAACAGAATTTTAAGGAATAATTACTTTTTTCGAGGAATTCGATTAAAATTGTATTAAAAATAATTGAAATTCTGCAATGAGTTTTAATTTTAATGAAAATAATTGAATTCCTAAAAAGAATTAATTATTATTTACGAAAATTATTGAATCCATGTAAAAATTTTATTATTTTTGGAAATAATTGAATGATTGCGAAGAAATTTATAAAAAATTTGTAAATAATTGAATTTCTGTGAAATTTTTATTATCTTATGAAAATAATTAATGGTTTGCGTAGAATTTTTTTAAATTATTTTAAAATAATTTGAATTCTTTTGGAAAATTTTATTAAAATAGTAGATATTAAAAATCATTGAATTGAAGAAAATTTTTGAAAATAATTGAAATTTTACCAAGAATTTTATTAGTTCTGGAAAATAATTGAATTTCGGAGAAGAATTTTATTATTTATTGAGATAATTCAAATTTTTATGAGAATTTTTAAAAATTTTTGAACGTAATTGAATTTCTGCGAAGAATTTTGACTTTTGAAAATAATTGATTTTCTGCAATCATTTGTAATTTCTCTAAAATTCTCCAAATTATATCGTAGAATTTACGAACTTTTCGTCTTTTCTCAATCAAATTACGGACTTTACGGACCTTTTTTTTAAAAAAATCTGACTTTTACAGACTTGAAGCAAAGTTACGGACTTATAAGGGATTTACGGACCAAGTTCGTGCCCTGGAGGTGTAAAATTGAATCCAAAGACATTGAATAAAATTTTATGCGAATATCTTGTTTATTATATATATAATATAAAGAATATAATGCATAATTGTAGTTTTACACAACATTACGTGCAGGCACGTAGAATATTTTAAGTTTCGCGTATGCAGTAACATAAACATGCATACTTTCATCGAATAATATTTGAATTAAGCACTAAAAACTCTTGCCTGACATACACAAAAGCTCGACAGGTTTCAATGGACGAATTTATTAATTCTAAAAACGACAATGAAATTTATTATTTTCAAAAATTTACGTACAGACTAATAATAGTCCTTTTTTCGTTTCATTTTTCCTTTTGTTCACTATTTTTAATCATCAAAACAAATATGACGACTTAGACATTTATGTACATTATTATTAAAAAATATCTTATGATACACAATCGATAGTAGGAATTAAAACTTATGTACAAGATTAGTTTTAGTCTTATCGGCTTCTTAATATTAACTATTCATTACATCTATTGACAATCTTTTGATCTCTTGCGATTTATAAATATTACACATAGCCGCATATGCATAATGCCAATGTAGTTTTGTCAAACGTTATATTAAAATGAAATTATATATATATATATTTATATATAAAAATGATACTATCAACAGGTGCAAAAGTCTTATATTGAGTATTAGGTATATTTGTGATTTCTACGTCATAAAAAATTGTTGTATCAAAATTTTAATTATTTACTCGAGATTCTTAAGCGTAAAAGAAAGTCAAAAAATGGGCGAAAAAAAAGTAATGAAATTAACGACACAATAAAATTTGACAATTTGAGCAAGGGTGTCGAAAACAACATCAAATAGTTATCAAAAATTCTTCAAAATAAAGAATTTTAAAGATAAAAAATAATTAGAAATTTAATAAAATAAGTTTTGTAAAAATTAATTAATTAAAAAACATTTTTCGTCATTTTTGCAATAAAATCTAAAAATTTCGCGTTAGATAAAATATTTAAATGCAAACCATGATTTCTTAGCATTGGCACAATTTTTCTTCTTCTTTTTTTTCTATAAAAGAATAATTATTTAACTATCTCAGTTTAGCAGTAACATTTTTTTTTTTTTTAGGAACAAGTCAAGTAATTAAATACTTAAAGGCGAATCAACGGCAGTGAAATTGCATAGCGATTCGAAAATACAATTTACGTGATTACCTCAAAAATAGTTGAACGCTCTCGTAATCTCGAAATTTACCTACTTAATTTGAAATAAACTTCAATAAAAACAAGTAAAATTAATCTCCCTGGTAGTTAGTCTCGATAAAATTGTAATTAAAATGAAAATAATACTCGATAATAATATGTAAATGTAAAAAAAAAAAATTATGCAGAAATTATCAGTCTTAAAAATGTACGATAAACAATTATGAGCTAAAAATCATCTCAACGAGAGCATCCCTTCTTAAGTGTAAATCGATGTAGAAAAATGTTTTCTTTTTTCCCTTTTCATTTAAACGTAGGCAGTGGTGCGACGTCCGCGTAAGTGATTGAAAAATAATCGCCAAGTAGTGAGTGTTTTACTTGACCAAACCCAAAAACTGCTGGTAATGCCGACAATCATAGCCATTAGATATTTGATCATAAAAACCTCAAACTCAGGACGACTCGTCTCTTCTCCCAATGGACATGGAATGGCGTAAGAATTCTGATTGCACATGTCTCTATTCCAGGTTAGCATCCAATTGTCAAAATTTGCCTGCTCATAAAAAAGACAAGCAATAACTATTAAAGCTGGAACAGTGTAGAGCACCGAGAATGTTCCTATTCGAATCATCAGTTTCTCCAATTTGTCCGTTTTCGTTCCGTCATGCTTCATTACGGTTCGAATTCGAAATAGAGAAACAAATCCAGCGAGTAGAAAAACAGTGCCAAGAACCAGGTAAATGCAAAGTGGTGTCAAGACAAATCCACGAAGTGCCTCGACATTCCAGAGACCGACATAACAAACACCCGAAAGAACGTCACCTGAAAATTAAATCAAAATTAGTTTTATATTCTTGGATATTAAATCAGAGCTGTTAAAAAATAAGATTTTTGAAAAAATTAAAAATACAGGCCTCGGATCGACTTTAACGAGCAAAAAAAAAGTCGCTTTTGTCGATTAAAAATAGAAAAGCAAGTCGAAAAAATAGTTTATTTAATTTAGTGTTGTCACAAAAATTTTATTTTGTATTTCCCTGACTCTTCACTGATTTCTAAATTTAATTAAGCACAGGGTTGTCACAAAAATTTTTTTTAAATAATTAAATTCTTTTGAGAATTTCTATTAAAATAATAATTGATATACAAATTATTGAATTAAGAAAAAATTTTAAAAGTAATTGAAGTTTTGCAATGAATTTTATTAAAATTTTTGAAAATAATTGAATTTTATTACTTTTGAAAAAAATTGAATTACTGCGAAGAATTTAATGCTAAATTTTAAAACAACTGATTTTTGCGAAAAAATTTATGCAAATTCATTTTAAATAATTGAATTAATGTAAAAGTTTTTTTTTGAAAATAATTGAAAGTTTGTGTAGAATTTTTTTAAAAATTTTTGTTTAATAATTAAATTCTTTCGGTTTAATTATTTCGGCGAAGAATTTTTATAGTTATAAAGATAATTAAACGATAATTTTGATAATTGATGAAAATTCAACTTAAAACATTAAGGAAATAAATCTCATTTTTAAGAATTTTAATTTTTCAAGGTTTTGTCATAATATTCAAGGTGTTTTCAAGGTTTTCAAGGTTTTCAAGGTACCTGGACACCCTGTTAAATTTTAAGAAGAATTTTATTAACAACTTTTGTAAGTATTTAATTTCTTTTAAGGAATTTAATTAAAATTTTAATGAAATTTATTATATTAAAGAATTTTAAAACAAGTTTTAAAAATAATTCAAAACTTTTTAAAGAATTTTATTAAAATTTTTAAAAATAATTGAATTCTTGAGAAGCATTTAAATAATAATTTATGCAAATAATTGAATTCATGCGAAGAATTTTATTAAATTTTGTTTAAATAATTGAAATTTTGCCAAGAATTTTATTAACATTTTTATCAATAATTTAATTCTTGAGAAGAATTCTTTTGCAGAATTACTTAAAAATGTTGAAAATAATTGATTTTCTGCGACGAATTAAATGTTATTTATGAAAATAGTTGAATTATTGCAACAAATTTTATTATTTTATTGAATAATTGAATGTTTTTTAAAATTGAATTCATTCGTCAAGTTTTAGTAAAATTTTTAAGAATAATTGCATTTTCGAGGAATTTATTTAAAAATGTATTAAAAATATTTGGAATTCTGCGATGAAAATAGTTGAATTCCTAAATGAAATTTTATTATTTATGAAAATAATTGAATGTTTTCGTAGAATTGTATCAAAAACTTTTTTCAATAATTAAATCATTTGATAAATTTTATGAAAATAGTAAATATTAAAAATTATTGAATTCCAAAAAACTTTTGAAAATAATTGAAATTTTGTAAAAAATTTTATTTAAATGTTTGAAAATAATTTAATTTTTGGCGTAAAATTTTGATATTTGTAAAGATAATTGAATTTTTGACAAGATATTAGTTAATTTTTTTTCAAATAATTGAATTTTTGAAAGTAATTGAATTTTGCAAAGAATTTTATTAAAATTCCTAAAAATAATTGAAGTTCTTTAAAGAATTTTCTTATTCTTATAATTATCAAGATAATTGCGTTGAAACTTTTGAAATAATTAAATAATATTTAGGTTTTGTATAAAAATTCATAATTTTCTTATACATTCTAGAAATTGAATATTTTTATAGTACTTTTGATAAAATTCCCTGACAAAATAAAAAGGTTTTATAGAAGATCATTCAATCTTTTTTTATGAAATATAATTATATTAATAAGTCTTAAAATAAGTATTTCTATTTTTGTTCACAAAATGATCAGTGTTTTTTTTAAATTTTTCTTAAAAAAAAAATATTTAAAGAGTGCCGAAAAAGTAAAATAAAAAAATACAAAAAATTTAATTTGTATTTTCCTGCCCTTCCAATGATTTCTAAATTCAATTACTCAAAAATTGAATAATTTTGTTAAAGAAATATTTAAATTCTTATTTGTTTTCCCACGGGAAATAAAATTGAAAAAATTTCAATTAAAAACTTCTGCAATTTCATAATTTCTAATAATTTCAACTTTCAAAATTCAATTATTTTCTACAATTTTTATATAAACTTCACCTTTTAATTAATTATTTTTAATAATTTTCCGAAAGTTCTTCAATAATTCAATTGTAATGTAATTTTTCGAAAATAATTGAATTTCTGAAAATAATTTTTTTTATGTTAAACATCATTGTTTTCTCCAAAATTTTAAAAATATTTCTAAAAAATTTTTATTTTAACAATTCTAAGACTTAGTTTATTAAAAAAATTGTAATGTTATTTTTCATAAATAATTGTATTTATTAAAACAATTTTTGTATAAGTAATTTAAAAAAAACTAATTAATTATTTGATAAATTTTAATTAAAATATTTGAATATGATTTTTTTCTCAAAAATGTTAGAAATAATTCACAAATGTTATTTTTTTTTGTATGCATTTGAATTTTCAGAAACATGTAATTGAAAATACTGAAAGTATTTATTTAAATTTTACAGAATTTTAATTATTCAAAATGATTTTTATTATATAGATATATTTGTAAAATTTAATTATCTTAAACAATGATTCAAAAATAATTTTTAAAAGATGTGTTTGTAGTTATTTTTGACACTATTAACATCGAAACAAGTTGCATTTTATATTAAAAAATGTGATATTTTGTTGGAATTTTTGGGAAGAAAAGTCGAAAAATTTTTTCCAAACAACAAATTTTTTTTCCTGTCATTTCCCTGACTTTGCTGACAAAAATTTTGTTTTCCTGACATTTCCTTAATTTTACTGACATGTGGCCACCCTGATAGTTACTGAAAAATTTAAGCATTTTTTATTATATTTTAACGACGTAAACGTTGGTAATTTTAGTTTCATTTTTCGTTCCGATTTTTTCAGATTCTTTGTTGGATTCTTCCTTATGTTAAAGTTGACTAAAAAACCTATTTTTAAGTAAAAATTTGATTAAAATGGAAACATGTCTTTGATTTAAATCATGATCTGAAGCATAACAATCCCTGGAATAAATGAAAAAAAAAATGTTATTTTTACTCAATTTACCTTCAACTTTTCTCATGGCGAGAATGGTGACGGTTTTGATAGCCGGAGCACCCCAGGCAGCCAAATGAAAATATTGTGAATTCGCTTCTATTGCCTCGTGTCCCCATTTGAGTCCAGCGGCTAGGAACCATGTTAATGTGAGAATAACCCACCAGATACTCGAAGCCATTCCAAAGAAGTAAAGCAGCATGAATAAAAGAGTGCAAAGTTCGTGTTTTGTCCCCTGAACTATTGGCGATATCATGTTCACTCTCATGTTCGCGGTGTATGTTTCAAAAGGCTCTCGGCACGAAATGGAATTGCCTGCCGCCCATCCAATAACGTAGGCGAATGCCACCATCAAATAGCACACTGACAAAAATATAATTGGCCTCTCCGGATATCTGCAAAATCAAAATTATTCATTACTTTATTGTTTAAATATTAACACTTCCAACGTTCACAAAAAACAAAGAAATATATTTCAATACAGAATTGCTAGTTAAAAGTATGAAAAATTCAAATTTTCAAAGATAATTTGAAACCTTTTCAAAATTCAATTATTTCTAAAACAGGGTTGCCACAAATATTTAATTATTTTATTTTTCCCCGACTTTTTCCCTGATTTCCAGAAAGAAATTCCACTTTTTCCCTGACCCTAAAGAATATTCTGATTCACTCTAAAAATTAATAGATACTCAAAAAAAATGTTCTATTACATTTACTTACAAACTTCTTTAATTGTAAAATTATTTAAAAACATCAATAACTTCTTTCTTAAATAAATATTTAATCATTATTATTTTTCTGTAGGAATTAAAATTCTTCAAAATATTCAAATTTAAACCATTTTGAAATTGCCATAAAAATTTTTAAAATAAGTTAATTTTTTTTACAAAAATCCTAAAAAAATCCTTCGCAAGAATTCAATTATTTTTACAAGAAGTACAATTTCACAAAAAAATTCTATTATCGATTCAAATATTCGTTTATTCATTTTTAAATCAACTTTTATTAGAAAATTCTAAAACAATTCAATTATTTAAATTAAAAAATAAATAATTTATTGAATAATTGAATGTTTGTTAAAATTGAATTCTCATAAAGAATTTTATCAATAAAATTTCAAATAATTGAATTCGTTTGACAAATTTTAATAAAATTCTTAAGAAGGAATATTTATTTATCGAGGAATTTGATTAAAATATTGTATATAAAAAATAATTCATAAAAATAATAATTAAATAAATAATTAAAATTTTCATAAAATAATTGAATGTCAGAGAAAAATTTTATTATTTATATAAATAATTGAATTCTTACAATGAATTTTATTCAAGTTTATAAAAGTAATTGAATTTCCGTGAAGAATTTTATTATTTATAAAAATAATTGAATTCATGAAAATATTTTATGAAAATCTTTTTATGTAATTGATATTTTTCGAAAAATTTTATGAAATTTTGTATTTTAAATAATTGAATTCCTGTGAAAATTTTATTACTTATGAAAATAATTGAATTATTTCAAAGAAATTTATTAAATATTGAATAATTGAATTATTCCTGTGGAATTTTGACAAGAATTTTATTAAAAATTTTAAAAATAATTGAATTTCGATGAATCCAATTTTTTTTAGTATTTTTAACTGAAATTCTTCTATCAATGTAGTATTTATGAAAATTGTAAAAATTATTTATAAAATAATTTGTAAGTTATAATTTTATGATAGTTTTTGAAAAATTAAGTTATTTAAAAAGAAATTATTGTCAGAAATTGGAAAAATTGAAGGTTTTGTATTAAAATTCGAGGTAATTTCATAATTTACGAGGCAAAAAGGAAAAAAATTCAGAGTTTTCTCATGAATTTTAAAAATTCAATTTTTGCCAGTACTTTTAGTAAAAATCCTTGACTTTTCCCTGACCTGTGGCCACCCTGTAAAAATTCACGCAATAATGCTTTTAATATTCAATTATTATCTCAAATTTTAACTGTAATTAATTTTAAAATCAATTGTTATTATAAAATTCTACGAGAATTCAATTTTTTTAATACAAAAATAAATCCCCCAAAAGAATTTTAATATTTATGAAAAATAATTGAATTATTGCGAAGAATTCTATTACTTTTTGAAAATCATTAAATTCTTGTGATAAATATTGTTAGTTATGAAAAAAATTTAATTTTGCAATTAATTTTATTAAATTGAAATTCTGCAATGTTTTATTATTTATGAAAATAATGGAATATTACGAGGATATTCATAAAAAATTTGAAAATAATTTAATTCCTGTAAAATTTTTATTATTTATGTAAATAATGAAATATTTGCGTTGAATTTTATGAATTTTTTTAAAACAATTGAATCCTTTTGTAAAATGTAAAAATCTTTTGTAAAATTTTTGAAAATAATTGAATTTCGGAGACAAATTTTATTATTTTGAAAGATAATTGAAATTCTGACGAGAATTTTTGTAAATTTTTGAACGTAATTGAATTTCTGAAAAGAATTATATTATTTTTAAAAATAATTGAATTCTTGAGACGAATTTTATTAAAATTTCTTTTTAAATAATTTAAATTTTTTATGAAGATTCTATTGAACTAGTAGACATTGAAAATAATTGAATTTTGACAAATTTTTGAAATTTATAAAATTTCTATAAAGAAATTCGACGCTGAACGTCGAAGCCAACTTCATGGAAATTTCAAAAATTTAAATAAAAAAATTCTTAAGGGGTAACACTACCCTAGAGTCAGAAAAAGAGACCTATATCTTTGATGATTTGTTTTGAGAAAATGGAAACTAGAATAGGATTTCTTTTTGGAGGGTTTATTAAATACATATTGAAGAGTAGGGCTTCCGTTTCCGGTACCGTTTCGGTGTACACGCGTTTGGAAAGAGTTAAGAGTTTTTTTGAGAAATATAAAGGTTTTAAAAAAGGGTGGGTAATGTAGAGTGCTGAGTGTGTAGTGTAATTTGCGGTAGTGTAAAGGAAAGGTATGTTGGTATAGAGTAGTGAATGTGTGAGTGATAAAAAAGGTAAAAAAGAGAAGTGTGTTTTGTGAGGTTAGGTTGCTTGAAGTGAGAGAGAGGAGAGAGAGACAGTGGAAAAATTTTGAGCATTTGAGTGATAAGGTAGATTTCTGGAATGGCTGAGTTTGACTCAAGTAGTGTTAGCGAGAATGAGAAAAAGGCGCGGGTATTTGAAAGGGGAATAGGAAAGAATGGAAAAAAGATGACGTGTGAGGATTGCATGGATTTGTTAGAATTAGTATGGATGATGAAGGACGCGATGGATGAAGGAGCGAAGAGAGTAAGGGAAAATTTGATGGATATATGTGAGGATGGGGAATCAAGGGACAAAGAGATAGTGGAAATTGAAGAGAGGTTGGAGAAATTGCAGGAAATGTGGAATGAATGGGATAGTAAGTGGAAAAAGGATAAGGAAAGCATGTGGAGAAGAATGAATGGATTAGAAAAATTTATAAAGGAAGTGAATGAGGGGACTGAGAAAGTTGAGGGAAGTGAATATGAGAGGTTAAAGTGGAAAATGGGAGATTTGTCAAGACGAGTGGATGTAGTAGAAAATGAAAAAAGGAAAAAGAATGTAGTGATCAGAGGTATGAATGTAGGTGTGTTGGAGGGTAAAAGAGCAGTGGAAAAAGTGTTGGCGTGGGTGGGGGTTAATGTCTCAGTGAAAATGGTACAAGCGTTAGGAAAGGGTGAATATGGGGTACCAAAGTTATGGTTGGTGGAGTTGGGTAGTGAGGAAGAGAAAATGGATGTAATGAGGGTGAAAGGAAGACTGAAAGGAAGTGTAATAAGAATAGATGAGGATAGATGTTGGAGAGAGAGAAGAATGCTATGGCTATTGAGAGAAAGAGCGTGGACGGAGAGAGTGAAAGGAAAACAGGTAAGAATGGGTAAGGATTGTATTTGGGTGGATGGGGTAAAGTATGTTGTGGGGGAGGATATGGGTGGAGTGATGGAAGTGTGTAAAGTGTGATAGATAGGTATAGGCTGAGAATGAGGTGAGAAGATTTTGCTTGGATGGATGGATGGATGGATAAAAGTGGATGACTGGAGCGTGTAAGGGAGGTGAGAAAGCAGGTTTTTGAAAAAAGGGTGGGCGAATTGGGTTGAAGCCAGCATGGGCATAGAAGGAACTGGAAACGGAAGCCCGGCACTGGCGATAGGTTAAGAGCGTAAGGTAGAGAGCGTGGAGAGAGTTGCGTTTTTTAGGTTAAGTTGTATGAAGAGAATGTTTAGTTGTAAGGATTTTTGTAAATATAGGTTAAGATTGTTATGTATGTACTTGGGAGTCTCGAACCCTACCTATTGTAGGGAGAGTAAATAAACTATATACATATTGAAGAGTAGAAAAAGAATTTTTATTAAAAATTTTATAACAAAATGGCGGCGGTAAATTGCATAGGAAAAATCGACTATTTTTTTTTTACCAAAACGGCCGGAAAGGTTTCTTGAAAAGTTTAAGTCCTGGAACAGAAAACAAAGAAATTTTATAATCTATATAATATAAACTTGAAAAGTACATAGGAGTTTCTTTTATATCAATTTTTGTAGAAATGGTGCTCTTTTTTAGTAAAATAATCAATTTCTCGACAAAAAATAAAAAGTAAATTGTTTATAAAAATTAAAGTTTACATCCAATTAAAAAAATCCTATGTACTTTTCAAGTTTATATTATATAGATTATAAAATTTCTTTGTTTTGTGTTTCAGGACTTATACTGTTCAAGAAACCTTTCCGGCAGTAAAAAAATAGTCGATTTTTACTATGAAATTTACCGCCACCATTTTGTTATAAAATTTTTAATAAAAATTTTTTTTCTACTCTTCAATATGTATTTAATAAACCCTCCAGAAAGAAATCCTATTCTAGTTTCCATTTTCTCAAAACAAATCATCAAAGATATAGGTCTCTTTTTCTGACTCTAGGGTAGTGTTACCCCTTAATATTCATTTTTTAAAAATAATTTTTAAATACCTAATTTTTTAAATACAAAAGTTTTTTATAATTATATACAATTAAAAAATGTCCAAAAAATAAAATTTTATGAAATCTTTGACAAATAATTGAAATTTGGTAAAATTTTTGAAAAGTAATTGAAATTTGATAAGATCTTTTTAAAATAATTGAAATTTAATAAACTCTTTTAAAAATAATTGAGTTTTTAAAAAAATATTTAAAAATCCAATTTTTGAAGAATTTTAATTATAAATGATTTCTCTGAAATTTTAATAAGTCTAAAAAGTAAATTTTAAATAATTTTAATTTACTTTCTTCGAAGCTAATTGAATCTTAAAAAATGATGATAGAAAAATTCTAAGAATCAGTTTTTTATAAATATTGTTATGTAATTTCTCGAGAATAATTGAATTTATAATAAAAGTTTTGTATAATTAAAAAAAACCTAATTAATTTTTTGAAGAATTATAATTAAAAATTTTGAATACGATTATTTTCTGCAAAATGTTAAAAATAATTCTAAAAAATTTTGATGTTATTATTTTTTGTAGGTTTTTGAATTTTCGGAAATATGTAATCAAAAATATTGAAAATAACTGAATTTTAAAAATTAGAATGAAAAAATTTTGAGAAACACTTTTTTCAAAAATATGTTAATGTGCGATTCCATGGGAGATTTTAGTTTTTTCGGAGTAAGTAAACCAATTGCAATGAAACTTAGGAATTTCAATCTACACATAAAAAGAAACATTTTCACCAAATATTACGTCAAAATATTCAGTAGTTTTTGAGATGTCAAAATTTTGGAAAAATTTTGAAATCGTTATATCTTCTTTCCATCTTAACCAAATCACTTAATTCTTTTTGGAAAAAATTCAGCATAAAAAAACGAAAACATTTTTTATATTATGTTTATAAAAAATTTTTATAAACAAAAAAGTTATTAAATAATAATTGAATAACTTTTGCACGACTAAACGAAATTGAATGAGGCAAACACTAAACAAATCTTCACTGTGGTTTTTTTAAGGTTCCGAAAAAAACATGGTACATCACGAAACATTTCTATACAATATTTTAATATTTTTGTTCACTTTTAAGCGTAAACATTAGAAGTTTCTGCTACTTTACGTGCAAATTCAGATGCGCGCGCAGACCTCTCTTTCTAATTATCTACGAATTTCCGGTTTCAGAGAGAGAGGTCTGCGCGCGCATCTGAATTTGCACGTAAAGTAGCAGAAACTTCTAATGTTTACGCTTAAAAGTGAACAAAAATATTAAAATATTGTATAGAAATGTTTCGTGATGTACCATGTTTTTTTCGGAACCTTAAAAAAACCACAGTGAAGATTTGTTTAGTGTTTGCCTCATTCAATTTCGTTTAGTCGTGCAAAAGTTATTCAATTATTATTTAATAACTTTTTTGTTTATAAAAATTTTTTATAAACATAATATAAAAAATGTTTTCGTTTTTTTATGCTGAATTTTTTCCAAAAAGAATTAAGTGATTTGGTTAAGATGGAAAGAAGATATAACGATTTCAAAATTTTTCCAAAATTTTGACATCTCAAAAACTACTGAATATTTTGACGTAATATTTGGTGAAAATGTTTCTTTTTATGTGTAGATTGAAATTCCTAAGTTTCATTGCAATTGGTTTACTTACTCCGAAAAAACTAAAATCTCCCATGGAATCGCACTAATATAAATTTTAGAAGCAAATTGTCATCAATTTTCTTTTTTAAATTTACACTTAAAGATTTTTCATTAAAATTTTTGTGAATTAAATTTTTTTCTAAATTTTGCCAATTGAAATTATTTAAAAGTTGATTTTCAAAATTTATAAAAAATTACTTGAAAAAAATCAATTATTTTCAATTAAATTTGACAAAATTTCAATTATTTAAAAGCTTTTTAATTGTATATTTCGAAAATTTAATTAGAAAAATTATTCAAAAATAACTTTTCAAAGATTTGTGTATTATACTTTGCATACTAAGAAAAATCGAAATAAGTTGCAGTTTTAATAAAAGTGTGATATATTTTGTAGCAATGTAAAAAAAAGTAGAAAAAGTCGCAATTTTTTAATATAAGTCGATAAAAGTCGCATTATTTGAAAATAGTCGAAAAAAGTCGAAAAAGTCTGAATACGTGATTTTTTACACATTTCTACAAAATTTCATAACAAAACTGTAAACCTACAGAAAATTTTCTTAGAATGCTTAAAAAATAATTCTATCTTTAAAGGGAAATTTACTAACATCTATGAACATAGTCGATGAACTAGACTCCTTACAATAGTAAAGAACTAAAACTAAAGAATTTGCTAATGTTTTCTAGTTGTTAAACAGAATTTATCATTAAATTATGATAACAGGTCTTGTATGATAATTTCAACAACAGGTTGTTGCAAACAAAAGAGAGCAAGTTGAATAAAAGAATAAACAAAGAATCAAAAGGTTAGGTACAATAATACAATGATATCCAACAGTTAAAAACTGAACAGGATTATTTTCCTTATTTTCACACTTTTTCAGGGCTGTAACTCGAAACAGAGTTGAGCACAAATTAAGTTAAGCAAATTTATCGGATCAATGCAGAAATGCGCAGAAACTAAAGAGTAAAACAATTCAAATGTATTTATAATAAATTTTTAAAAAATGTATTGTGCTTTTAAAAATTTCATAAAATTATTTTAATAAAAAATTTAGAAAAATAGATTCTAGAAAATCGAAAATAAATTCCTTGAAAGAATCATCAATTTTTTTATAATTTTCATTACTCTGATGATTCACATTTATTATTTTTCCTAATAACCTCTTATAATTATTTTTTCTGTATTAACCATATGATTTAAAATTTATTAAAAAAAAGGAAAATTCAATTATTTCTAAGAATTAACGCTATAATGCTTTTAATATTCAATTATTACCTAAAATATCTAAAATTTTAACTAAAATTAATTTTTCAATGAATTTTTATTAAAAAATTCTACTAGAATTCAATTAATTAAATACAAATAAAACAATTTGTTGAATAATAATTGCATGTTTCTTAAAATTGAATTATCATAAATAACTTTATCAACAAATTTTTAAATAATTGAATTCTTTTGACGAATTTTAATAAAATTTTTAAAAATCTTTACATTTTTCGGGGAATTTCATGAAAAATTGAATTCAAAATAATTGAAATCTTCCAAAGAATTTTATTTTTTATAAAAATAATTGGATTCTTGCGAAGAATTTTTTTAAATTTTTGCAAATAATTGTAATCCTCCAAAGAATTTTATTATTTATATAAAAAATAATTTAATTTTTGCGATTAATTTTACTTTGAAAGGATTTCTTGACAAGAATTTGTTTAAATTTTTTGAAAATATTTGAAATTCTATAAAGAATTCAAATGTTTATGAAAAAAAATTGAATTCTTGCGAAGAATTTTATTAAAATTTTTGGAAATAATTAAAATACTCTGAAGAATTTTATTATTAATGAAAATAATTGAAATCTTCCAAAGAATTTTATGAAGATAATTGAATTATTGATAAAAATTTTATTAATTATGAAAATAATTGAAATCTTCCAAAGAATTTAATTTTTTATGAAGATAATTGAATTCTTGCGAAGAATTTTATTAAAATTTTTGCAAATAATTGAAATCTTCCAATGAATTTTATTTTTTATGAAAATAATTGAATTTTTAGAAAGAATTTTATTAAAATTTTTAAAAAAATAATATAATTATTTCAATGAAAATTTCAATTCTTTAGAGAAGTTTAATTAAGATTGTATTGAAAATAATTGAATTTTTAGGAAGAATTTTATTAAAACTTTGGAAAATAATTTAATTCTTTTGGAAAATTTTATTGATAATAATTGAATTTTTGCAAAGATTTTACTATTTTGAAAAATAATTGAATTGTTTATTTTTTAAAATTTTTTTGAAAATAATTGAATTTTTGCAAAAAAATTTATTATTTGTAAAAATAACTGAATTCTTCCCAAGAATGTTATTATTTATTGAAAATAATTGAATTACAATTTTTTTTAACATAATTATTATTTTCTTTTAGAAAAAGAAGAAAAATATTTGCAAAATTCCTATTTTTAATCTTATTTTTGGAACAGGATTTTCCACAGAAATTAAGACATTCAAAAATTTCAAATTCAAACCATTTTAAAATTAAACAATTTATAAAAGTATTTATTTATTTTTGTTATAAAACATGAAGATATCGATTGCTCCGATTTTTTTAACTTTGGAGAAGAATTTTGTTATTTATAAAGAATATAAAGATAATTGGGATTTTTACGAGAATTTTTAAAAATTTTGAACATAGTTGAATTTTATAAGAATTTAATTTTTTTTTTTGGAAAATAATTGAATTTCTGCAATTATTTGTAATTTCTCCAAAATAAAAAATATACAAAAATTCAGAATTTGCTTATGAATTCTAAAGATTAATTTTTTTCCAGTACTTTTAAGAAAAATTCCTGACATTTTTCCTGACGTGTGACAACCCTGAATAAAAATGGAAAAAACTTTGAAAAAAAGCAACATACCTGAAACGTTTTGTATCGATTAAAAACGTGAGAAATGTAAAAAAGCAGGAAACAGCACAGAGAGTTGCCCAGGTACCAATCCAAGCTCTTGCAAATCTCCTCTCCTTGTCACTGAAAAACATTTTATCGCACGGAGCACCACAATTGTATTCCACTTTATCGCCAACTTTTAAAGAATAACCAAATTCATGTGGAACTTTAAATTGCACTGGACACACGAATCCATGTACTTTTCCGCCCGGCATCGGTGCAAATCCATGTCCAAAATTTCTCTGTCCATTCTGCCACAGTGACGAGGGATGAAATTCCTTAAACTCCGAAACAGGTATCCTGGGTGGAACTTCAACAGGTAACGACGATTCCGATGGTGTTATATTTGGTCCAACACAAATTGTTTCACCACCATGCACTGGAAAACGCGAGCACTCAAAATACTCTGGCCATTCAAATCCAAATGCCTTGAGAAGATGTTCACAACCCTTTCTTGCATTGTCGCACAACGATCGACACGGCGGAAGTACTCTGCCCAAAATTGTACACACCGGACCGTATAATGAGCAAAGGAAAAATCTCAAATCAGAGCTACACTTCATTTTCACGAGTGGAGCAAAATCATGAATTCGAGCGCCCGCCTCCTCTTGTTCCTGATGTCCCAAAATATTCGGCATTATCGTATAATTGTACGGTAAATTCAGACAAAGATTTATTTTCAATGGTTCACATTTTTCATGTGGCTGAACTGGAATTACTGTGTCTTCTTCGATTTCAATTTCCTCCGAATGCACGGCATCAAGTCCACGAATCGTGAGACAATAAATGCAAATAAATTGGAATAATAAATTTCTCGTCATTTTGGCTTGGTAAGAAGAGGAGCGAGCGATCCAAATCACAGATTAGTTTACACATCACCAAACAACACGAATTCGCGACATTATTCCGTTGAAGTGATGTTCAAGGCAATAAGTGGAGGTTAGATGATAAATTCAACACAATTTATTTATAAACAAAGTGATTAAATAATGAATACACAAAGTAATTTACTAATAGAACGCTGCACTGTAAACAGATCATAAACTAATTTTAACATAGAGTGTGGCGTTCGTGGTTGGTTTCGGACGAAATAATCTGAGGAGGTGTTTGGCGATTCTCGACACAGATGGCGCCAAAGAGCGGGAAGTTTAAATTTTTAAATCGTTACCTTGGTGGTAAACTGTACCATTTCAAGAATATTCGTTATAAACAATACCAATTCAAAAGTTTTTTTATAAAAAACATTTATTGATATTCTATCAAGTTTACATTTTTTGAAAAATCTATATTAATAATTGTATTTCGGTAATCTGTTCGCAGTTTGAAGTTAGTTGCTGTTTTGCTTTTTTGTTTTCTAACTTTTTAAATAATTTTTCTTTTCCAATGTTTTCAATTTTAAAATTAATATATATACTGAAAATCATTGAATTCTTGTAAAGTATTTATAAAAAAATTTGAAAATAATTGGATTATATGAAGAATTCAATTATTTTCAATAATTGAACGCCTTGATGCAATTCTTTATAAATAATGAAAATTCTTCATCGAAATTCAATTATTTTAAAAATTTTGATTTCTTCTTGGAAATTCAAATATTTTTATAAAATTCTAAGAAAATCGTTCGCAAGAATCCTCCGAAGAATTTTATTATTTATAAAAAAATTGAATTCTTGATAAGAATTTGTTTCAAATTTTTGAAAATAATTTAAATCCTCCGAAGAATTTTATTATTTATAAAAAATAATTCAATTGTTTACGAAAAAAAAATTGAATTCTTGATAAGAATTTGTTTCAAATTTTTGAAAATAATTGAATTCCTCCGAAGAATTTTATTATTAATGAAAATAATTGAAATTTTCTAAAGAATTTTATGAAGATAATCGAATTCTTACGAAGACATTATTTATTAAAATTTTTGAAAATAATTGTAATCTTCAAAAGAATTTTATTTTTTATGAAGAATTTTATTAAAATTTTTGAAAAATAATATACTTGTTTCAATGGAAATTTAAATTCTTTAGAGAAGTTTAATTAAGATTGTATCGAAAATAATTGAATTTTTAGGAAGAATTTTATAAATTTTATAAAGAATTCAATTATTTTCAATAATTGAACGCCTTGATGCAATTCTTTATAAATAATTAAAATTCTTAATCGAAATTCAATTATTTTAAAAATTTTAATAAAATTCTTTGCAAAATTCAATTATTTCCAAAATATAACAATATTCATCACAAGAATTCAATTATTTTTAAAAGTAATAAATTTCTTTAATTGAAAATTCAAATATTTTTAAAAAATCTAAGAAAATCGTTCGCAAGAATTCAATTATTTTCATAAATAATAAAATGCTTTTTAGGAATTCAATTATTTAAAAAAAAAATTTAATAAAATTACACACAGACATTCAATTATTATTCTCAAAAATTTAAAGAGAATTCTTTGTAAAATTTAATTATTTTTAAAAACTTTTCGCAATTCAATGAATTTCAATATCTACTATATTTTCAGAAAATTCAATTATTTATAAAATTTTTACATGATTTTCGTGAGAAGTTTGAAAGCTACTTTTTTTAAAATTAATTATCGAGTGCGAAGTCTGAAATTATCAGGAATTTTAATACAATTCAATTTTTTTGTTTAAATCTTTAAAACTTATACAATTATTACTTACAAATTTTATTTAATGAATAATTTTACCTAAATATTTCAAAATCATAATAAATAATATAATAATCATGTAGATGATCTTCAAAAGGTTTAAATTTGAAATTTTATCAAATTTGAATTTTTAATGAATTTAAATAGAAATTTTTAAGAACTTAGATTTTTGAAAAATTTTAATACCTATATACATTTGTTTTCTATTTATTATTTTGAATATTGTAAAATTTTGTGTACTAATTATTGTACACAAAATAATTTAAATTGTAAAAGAAAAATTCAAAAAAAGAAAGAATAAACTTACAAATTGAAAATTAAATATTGCAGATAAAAATTTTTTCTTTAGAATTCGAAAATTTCCGATATTTTTTAAACACCTAGAATCATTTTTGACCTTGCTCTTATCAATAAATAATAATGCATATTTATTTTTTCTCTTAATATGTTTAAATGAATAAATAAATACAAAAAATAATAAAATAATGAAAATAATAAATAAATAAATAAAAGAAACAAATAAATAGTGTAAAACAGCAAACGAAAAAATACAATGAGAAGTCAAACCTGATGTGGTAAAGTTGAAATAATAGTGAAACGAGTGAAACAATAAGGTGAGTACGATACATTGAAAATATATTTTCGATTCTCATTTAAATTTTAAATTTAAAGAAAAAAACAAAAATCAAATAATTTTTTATATTTTTTATCCATCAGCCTAAATTTTATGTAATAATTAATTTAATGTATTTTTATTAATTATTTTATTGATAATTAATTTTACGTAATGATAATAATAATAACAATAATAATTTTTATAGAGATTAAAAATAAAGAAGAATGAAGTTGCAAATTAGTCTAATTTTCATTGGAATCGTAATTTTGGAAATAATTAAAAAAAATTATGTAAATTGTTCACAAAATCTCCTGATGAAAAAACAAAGAAAATGGTCGTCGCAGAGAATAATTAAAAAATTAAAGAGAAATTCAAAAATCCATCAAATCGTATTGATAAAAAATTTGCAAAAATCCAATCAACTCGAAAATGAATTAATTCAAGAAATAGAAAAAAATTTACCAACATTACTATTCAATTGCTCCCATTGGAAAGGAGAATTTAAAAAAATTGAGAAAATGCCTTCCATCATCAGTAATCCACGCTCAACGACATTATTCTTAATTTTTGATTCTTCAAACAAAACTGATATTCATTCTGTAGAAAATATAATGGGATCGATTAAAAAATTATCAAGAGCACGTATTCGACCAAAATGTCTAATTATTCAATTCTCAAAAAATTTCAATTACTCCCAATTTTTGGAAAAAATGTGGCTGGATTTATTTCTCGATCTATCAATTCTTGAGGTTACTGAAGAAAAAGTGATGATTCATTATTTGAATCCATTTTTGTATTTGTATGAAAAAAAATTATTTGGAAAAAAAACTGAATTATTTGTGGAGAAATTGAGAAATTTAAAAAAATATCCATTGAAAGTGGGAGTTTATGATCGACCACCGTTTGCAAAGTTGATAGTTAATTCAACGAATTATCCCATTGAATTGTCTGGTTCCGATATTGAAATAGGAAAAATTTTCTCTCAATTATTGAATTTTAAATTGAACTTTGAAGCAAATGTGGACGATCTCATTGGTGTACTTTCTTGCGATGCTAATAATTTAACAGGATTTTATTCAATGGCTCATAATAATAAAATTCAATTTATCAGCGTAACGACCACAAATCATTTTAGTGTTTGCGGCAATAAATATTTTGAAAATTTAATATTCACCACCGATTACTATATTGCAGTTGTACCAAAATTGAAAGTAGAAAATTCATCGGTTATTATTGGAAAAGCATTGTACTATTCACTATTATTGAGTATTTCAATAATAATAATCGTTATCATTGTTGTTGAAAAATTGAAATTTGATGAAAACTTTTGGAATTGGACAGTGATTTTTGAAATTTTATTCGGAGTGGCAATTGGTAGTTTGCCAAAAAAATTGTTTGAGAGAATTATCTTTGGATGTTTGTTAATTATTAATTTTTACTTCTCATTCAATATGTACGGATCGTTGACTGCTTTAAATTTTCAAATTAAAGAAGAGAGGGAAATAAATACAATGAATGATTTAATTGAAAGTGGTCTTCAACTTAATTCTGAAATTAATAAAGTAAAAATAATTCCAACAATGATTGACGATGAGAATTTTACAATTTGGGCAAAAAAAGGACAGGGAAATACAAATGAAAAATGTTTGGAAACACTTCTCAATTATAAGAATGTAACTTGTGTAATGAGATTGACGCAAGCTGATTGGTACGCTGATTTTTATCGTGAACAAAATTTACTGAAATATGTACCAGAAAGTATTGTTGCAGTAAAAATTGGATTTATTCTCGAATCCGGTTCACCATACGTTGAGAAAATGGAGAAAATTTATAGAAAAATTATGGAATTTGGATTAGTGGAGAAATTTAAAGTAAAAAATTTACCGAATTCGACTGAAATTGAGAAAATAAGAAAACATGTAGAATTAATGGATGATAATGAAGAATGGAAATTACTGACATTACTACATGGAATAATGATTACTGGTTATATTGTATCGTTTATTTCGTATATTATTGAACTACTCGTCAACAGATGGAAAAGGTTGACTAAACTAAAATTCATAATTTGTAGTTAAATTTTATTTTTACGTTCAGTTTGAATTCTATATTTTCACTTTGACTTTCTTTAATTTTCAATCTTATTTTTTATTAATAACATGTTTTATTCAATTATTAATTGTTATTTATATATATTTTCCTTATCTAGTGCCATGTAAACAAAGAGGGAAAAAAAATTCTATTACGAAAAATAAAATTATATAATGGAAATTGGAAAAGAAAAGTTCGAAAAAAAGGAAACGAAATTGAGAAATAATTCTGGACGAAAAGAAATTATTTCCTAGAAATGAAAATATTTTAATTCTTGTGAAGAATTTTATTAAAATTTTTAAAAATAATAAGCAGCAATAATTAATTATTTACTCAATAAGTAATAAACATTTAATTTGCTCAAGAAATAAATAAATATCATTTATTTGAACATTCGCAGAAATTTGAAATTATAAAAATTTAAGAGAAGTTCAATAATTATAATTATTGAATAATAATAGAATATATTATCCCGTGTGGAAATCTGCCCAAGTTAGCCCAGTTAAAAAGTAGGGACCAGCTGGGCCCCACCTGGGCTTCCCATTTTTTTAAAAATATTAACATTATAATAAAAAAAGTCTTAAAATTAAATATAACTATTGATCAAAAATCATTCTACAATTTATTCATTAAAATAATAATCATTATTTGTTTAAACAATTTATTATTGTTAATAATTATAAACTTTCATTGTAGTACA